TTTTGTATTCTCTGCATCTATCCACAAATGGTGATATACTTGTTTGTTTATTTGTTTACCTGTTTACATGTACTTTGTTTACCATTACATGCAGTGATTTATGTTACAGGGTTTAGAGCAATTCCCCAAATTTTCAAAAACTATCCGCAAATATGCAAAAGCCTAAAGCTAAAGTGCTTTCTTGTTGTTCGTTTTTTTCAAACTTGGTACACTAGTGTATCTTTTTATGCTCTATCTTTTTTAATATAACCCAAAGCTATACTACCTAATACTTTTGTGTCTTAAAAGTAGGTTTTTTCTCTTCAAAATTTTGGTACAGGTGATCGTCGGAAAGAGTTGGTTTTAATAGTTTTACAATATTGTTACTATATTTATTATTAATAAAAATTATAATTTATTAATATTGTTAAAATATAAAATTTGTAATATATTAATATTGTTATTTAATAATTTAAATTAAAATATAAGTATTGTTACAATATTGTAAAAACAAAAATTTGTAATTAAAATATTATAAAATATTTACAAAAATTATACTTTATATTATAAAATGCATATTCTACAAAATATCTCATATAGTAATTTTGGTTACTAGAAAAAACAACTCTGCTTTATTAATAAACTTAATTTAAAATTATATATATATGCCATTCTCAAGTGAGTAATAAATAGTATACAACCCAAATTTAACAGATTGAGGTTCAGAATAAGGTAATGAAATATTCAATTTATTTCCAAATATTTTCATTTTTTATATATTGGTACTTTTTTTTTCATTTTTTATATATCAAGTATTGAAAATTGAATTCGATTTATGTAGTACACTGCCAGTTCAAAACTAAACCAGTTTATTTTTAAACTGTTTAATATTCCTAATTACACCCTAACTTTATATCACATGCCTCATTTAATAAACCAAAATCAGTTATGTATAACAGCTTAAATTTATTGCCAATATTAAAATTAAAATTAATTATTACAGCTGTTTTCATTATTCCTGAGACACCTATAAAAAATTAGCCAAAAAAATTTTCAGCTAGTAATTTTTTTTGCATGATTGATATATAAAAAATATATTTTTGAATTTATTCAATTTTAATTTACTATATCTACATCATAAAATTAAATATATTTTTGAATTCATTCAATTTTAATTTACTGTAATATTGATATAATTTCTATGTCAAATTACATTTTTGGTCAAATTTTAAAAATTATCATAATAAATATAATACCTGTTCTACATACAAATAATCTTATTATTATAATATTAACATTTCAAAATTTCATTTGAACACTTGCCCAATATGTTTAGTGTGTTAAACTTGTGCGAAAGTTTATAGAAAAGATTGTTCTTGTCAACTAATAAAACTTGATAAAAAATATAAAAAAGTTCCGGATATCAATTAAAGAATCTTTATCGTCCATGACAAATACTTTGAATTACCTGACTTGTCTAAAGTAAATGCAACTGATTCAGAAATTAATAGTCAAAAAGATTCTGAATTGGATATTATTAACATAAAGAGCCTGAATCAGGAGCTATTAATATGAAAGAGCCTTTTATAAAATTGCTAAAAGTTTATAAAATAAAATTATGTATAAATCTATGAAATATTACCTTTTTGTATGTATATCCAAATCAGTATATAGCTATCTAAATTGTTGTAAGAAAGTTCTATCTCGGATTGTAATTTATACAATTGCCAGTCAGGCTTTTCTTTTATTAAAACTTGAAGATAATTTATATCATTCATGTTTAAAGAATATAGTTTTCCTAAAACTAATGGAAGTTTTTCAATACAACCATATCTTTGAAAATGCACAAAAACTCAACTTATAGAAGACCTGCTAACACCTAAATGTTTTGCAATTTTTCAAGTTGAAAGGTTTTCAAAAATTTTTTCAATAATTTCCTAGCGAATGCAGTTTAAAAATATCATAATTTTTGAATTCATCAAAAGATGTAAATAATTTTTTATTTATATTAGCAATTTTAAATTACGTATATATTACAGTATTATATCAATTTTTATTGAATTTATTATGACGAAAAATTACCGGCTGAAAATTTTTTTCAGCTAATTTTTTATAGGTGTCCCAAGAATAATGAAAATAGCTGTAATACAAAAAATAAAAATATTTGATTAATAATATATGTAAGAATACTAACAATTTAGAATAAAAATTTTTATTTTTTTGAATATCTTAATATAAAATATTTTCTAAAAAATAATACAACTTTATTCATCTCGTCGAATTATGAACCCAAAAAACTGCATTTCAAATTAATAATAAGTCATGTTTTAAGTACACAACTAGTATAAATGAAAGCATAAAACAGATTGATATTCACAAGCAAAAAGAAATCTGAAGAGCTTAAAATATATAGTTTATGAAATTTATAGACATTGAGAAAAAGCAATATGTACATGAATCTTGAAATAGTTGCAGATATTTTTCAAAATGTTAATGAATAGAAGTAAATAACATGAATGAAGTTTTTGCAAGTTCATTGTAATTATATTATGGTTTAAATCTAATATTATGGTATATTAATTTAGATACAATGCAATTCTCAATATCCCTTTGCATTCTGAAGCTAAAGAAACCTTATAGAATATCAGCCTTAATCAATTATACACAAGTAAATTTAATGATCAATCTGGTAAATTCAGAAACCAAAATATAGATAATGAAGAGTCGAGTACTTAAGATAGTGAATCTGAATCTGAAATTTACTTTTAATTTTATTTTTAGCTATTTGATTGTCTTGAAAAGTCAAATAATTTCCCAAGCAAAAAAAATAGCTTCGAAACTATTAAATCGAACTTTAAACCTATTCATAAAAATAGTAGATATTAAAGGTTTTGAATGAACAAAAAAATTTGTAGTAGACATAACAAAGTATCTTTTATTAATAGCTTTATACGTGTATTAAATAAATTTTGAATTTGCATTCTATTCATTTGAATTTGTGTAATTTGACTTGTAGCAATAATTAAATAAATTCTAATATGTTGAAATAAGTTGAATATAAATATAAAAAAACTTCAATTATTTCAAAATTATGTGATCTTGTAATTCCATTATTTACAGTATGTACATACGTACGTACGCAAATTAAAATTTAAAAAGCGATTACATAACTGATTTTGGTAGCAATCTTGATAATAATAACTACATATAACAGTCTTAGTTTTAAACTTGGTCAAACTAGTTACTATAATACATATAAATATGAAATCAATGAAAATATGGACTTACAGCATTTGCTGATACATATAAACAATTCCAACAAAACGTATCAAGAATTAAGAAGCTAAAAAGACAAAAGTAATGAAAGTAAGAATAATTCTAACAGTTGGCCATTGTTATTTTGTAACTAAAAAAACGTAAGTAATGATGAAAGTAAGGTATTCATTATAATGTTTGCTGTTTTGAATAATTTTATGGAATGTATCAAGGCAACTATTGTTATTATTTTAAGACTTAAGGATCGAACATTCTGATGTGAATAATTCCAACAGAATGTATCAAGTGACCATTATTACTTTTTCCATTATTATTTAAGAATTGAGAAACTAAAAAAAACAGAAGTAATGAAAGTAAGATATTTTTATTATCTAATGTTTGCTGTTTTGAATAATATTATTTAGAGACTTAAGGATTAAACATTCTGATATGAATAATTCCAATGGAATGTATCAAGTAGCCATCATTACTTTTTAAGAATTGAGGAGCTAAAAAGATGAAACTAATGAAATTAACAAAAGTAAGATATTTTGTTTATTATCAAACGTTTGCTGATGTGAATAATTCTAACGGAATGTATCAAGTTTGATATCATTATTTAGAAACTAGAGGAGTTAAAAAGATCAACTATTTGCTGATATGAATAATTCTAACAGAACATATCAAGTTGGCTATTGCTATTAGGTAAAAATTAAAGAGTTAAAAGACAGAATTAATGAAAGCAAGGTATTTTGTTTATTATAAAATATTTGTTGTTACTGATTTTTTATGAAACATATCAAGCTGTTTGTTGTTATATTTAGAGATATGAATAATTTCAAAAGAATGTATCAAGTTGGCTATCGTTATTATTTAAGAATTGAGGAGTTAATGTTTGCTGATGTGAATAATTCTAACAGAACATATCAAGTTTAATATTGTTATTATTTAGAAACTAGAGGGATTAAAAAAAGATCAACTATTTACTGATGTGAATAATTCCAACAGAGCATATCAAGATTCTATCATTATTATTTAAAAATTGAGAAGTTAAAAAATACAGAAGTAATAAAAATAAGGCATTTTGTTTATTATTAAATGTTTGTTGATGTAATAATTCTAACAAAATATATTAAGTTGGTCACTGTTATTATTTAGAGACTTGAGAAGTTAAAAAGATCAAACGTTTGCTGATATGAATAATTCCAACAGAACATATCAAGATTCTATCGTTATTATTTAAAAATTAGAGAGTTTAAGAGATAGAAATAACGAAAGTAAGGCATTTTGTTTATTATCTAATGTTTGCTGTTAATTTTAATGGAATATATCAAGTTGGTCATTGTTATTATTTAGATCTGAAGAGTTAAAAGATGGAAATAATGAATATAAGCACTTGTTCTTTATCAAATGTAAATAATTCTAATGGACATATCAAGTTGGCCATTGTTATTATTTAGGTATTAAAGAATTAAAAAGAGAGAACAACACTTATTTATTATACAACATTTGCCAATGTGAATAATTTCAACATAATGTCTCCATTTGTCTTTATTAAGATTATTAGCATTACAATAGGTTGTTTGGTCAAGATATTAGAATTATTTTTTCTTGGTAAGTTTTATTTTATCTATTTCACCAATGTGTTTTAAAATTTTGTCATTTTATGATGCTAATCTATTTTTTGTTTTTTTTTTCTTTCACATCTAATCCATTCATTTTAATTATATTACTCTGATCATAATTTCTTCCAATTTGTATGAGCATCACATTTTAAGAGCACAATTATGATTTTGAATATGCAATTTTACACTTTGATCATAATAGTCAGCTGCATTTATATTTGCTCTTTGTAATTCTCTGGAATCACAAAATATGGACCTCATGAAGTCATCAAACATCAATAAGCAACTTGATACTATACTAAATCTAGTAATGATAAGCTACAAAAAGACTTGGTAGTCAATAAGGCTCTATATTGCATCATAAGACTCTAACTACCACTGAATTTAGGATAATTAGGTTCAATCACTAATTCTCTACACTAATTTCACTTGTCGGGAGTAATTAACAGAGGAAACATTGGGTTAAGAGTATTGAACTCTAATTGAGTTCTTTTTGAACTGCTTTATTATTGTATTTATAGTTCTTACACTATTAGTAAGTATATGATGGCTATGCTAACTATGCTAACTATGTTTACTATATTCGCGTTTGTGTTGACCACTATGTATGAATTATACGAATTGTACAAAATATACCAAATCCATCAGATTCACTAACTCTAATCTAACATGTACATATGGAAAAATTTATCCAAGCCATTGTACCTTTCTATGCCATGTATATATATATAATTATGCATGTTTATGAGCAATTTTTGGGCTTTGATTAACATTTGTACAAAAGGGTTTATTTTTATCTATAATAGCATTCTTGGTAATATCTTTATTAGTAATTTGTCTAATTTTGTTATTTAATTTTTATTATTATATTTACTGGATTTTTTTTTTTTTTTTATTATTATTCTTTGACAGTCTTGTCGGTGCTCAAATACAAATTATATTACTATTAGACTACAAAACAAAGTTTCAAATTCT